CCCCCCCCCCCTTCCTCCTCCTCCTCCTCCTCCTCCCTGCAAACCCCATTCCCTCTAGCACTGATGATGTTGCCTAGCTGGGTCATGAAAGGTCTACAAGAAAACGACCAAGCTCAGAGAGCACCAAGGATCCCACGAGGTATGTTTTTATTCATTACTTAAACCAGAACAAGATGAGGAGAGTTATAAGCTTTATGAGTTTGGGCGTTAAGAAAAAAGAAGAATTAGGTAAAGCTTTTTTAGCACTGGGTGCCAATACTCACCCCATGCTGGGCGCTCTCTGTGCTACTGGCTTCATCATCTTCCACACAGCCACTGGAATGACTTCCTGGCGGGGAATCGTTTTCAGAAGAAAGGGAGTCCCCTTCGGCGTTGCCCGGAGCCGGGGAACCCTCGCAATCTGGCGACTGGCTGCATTTCTGCTCGTCCAGAAGTTGACCCTTGTCCAAGGCTGCTGGATAAGGACACAGCTCGGCTTGGTTGAACAGCCCCATAGCTTTGGGGTTGACTGTCTTCAACAGCTCACGGACCCCGGGCCTGGCAGCTGTAAAGCACAGAGGCAGTTCCGTCACAAATGTAAGGAGTTTGACCGAACGACAATAAAAAGAAAAAAGAGAAGTGAGGAAGGCTCCGCCCTAATATATATTGGAGATATCTGGGTTATAGGTAGGAAAAGATTGTGTTGCTGGAATTCTTTTAATTCTGGCCTTTTCTGATTTAATTAAGGAGTCTCTGTGACAAGCTTCCTTGCCGAAGAAATTGCCTTTAAGCGGAGAACAGTTGACATGTTGGTTGACTACAATTCCCATATTGGTTCTTGGAAATTATACTTCAGCAATATCTGGAATACAGTAGATTTCCCACAATGGTCTAGGCCAGGGGTAGGCAACCTTGGCTCTTTTATGACTCGTGGACTTCAACTCCCAGAATTCCTGAGCCAGCCATGCTGAGGGGAAAGGGAGAGGTTTCCAAGCTGAGCCATGTTGGCTCAGGAATTCTGGGAGTTGAAGTCCACAAGTCATGAAGGGGCCACAGTTCCCCCATGCTGGCTCAGGAATTCTGGGAGTTGAAGTCCACGAGTCATAAAAGAGCCAAGGTTCCCCACCCCTGGTCTAGTCCAATCTTTTGAGTAAGTCCACAAATCAGTTACCAGCCAATAGTACAGGTAGACCTTGACGTACAACCACAATTGAGCGCCAGATTTCTGTTGCTAAGCAGGACAGTTGTTAAGTGAGTTTTGTCCCATTTTACGACCTTTCTTGCTGCAAGTTGTTAAGTGAGTCACGGCAGTTGTTAAGTCAGTAACACCATTGTTAACTGAATCTGGTTTCCCTCTTGACTTTGCTTGTCAGAAGGTTGCAAAAGGGGATCACATGATCCTGGGACACTGCAACCATCACAAATATGAGTCAGTGGCCAAGCGTCAGAATTTTGATCACGTGACCATGGGGAAGCTGGGACGGTCTTAAGTGTGAAAAACAGTCGTAAGTCGCTTTTTTCAGTGTCGTTGTAACTTTAGTCACTAAACAAACTATCGTAAATCAAGGACTACTTTTAAATGTTTCGCCCAAGATAGAATCCTTGATCAGCTATGCCAACCTCGGGCTACATACCACATTCTAGACACCCTACAAAATCGTCCGTGCGTTTGTGTCTGTGTGTTTATGTGCGCGCTTCCTCTGGTGATTCTACAAGTTGAATCATGAATGTTATCCTTTCACTCTTGGTGTTATTTTTAAAAATATTGTTATTTCTTTAAATTGTTATCTGCCCTGTGGCTAATTCTGCTGAGATCCCGCAGGTGGAGTCCAACTATTCCAGTGCACAAAACAGAAAAACGAACATGTGAAAAAAACGGGAAATGATTGAAAGACTTTGTGTGAACGGAAAGAAAGTTTGGTCCGTTCAGAACTAGTCATTATCAAGTCAGCCCCAAACCCTTAGGGCAGGGGTCTTCAAACGTGGCCCTTTTATGATGTGGACTTCAACTCCCAGAATTCCTCAGCCAGGCATGCTGGCTGAGGAATTCTGGGAGTTGAAGTCCACAAGTCATAAAAGGGCCACGTTTGAAGACCCCTGACCTACGGGGGTTTATATGTTAAACTCAGCACACTGATGTTGTGTTAAATCTGTTATACTCCCCCTCTACGGACACTTTTTTTTTTCAAGTGTTACATAAATAAACAGGTAAGAAACTGGTTCTGACATTCTTGGGAGGCTGGTCTCCTGAGCAAGAAACGCCCTTTGAACACAAAAACACCTCATAAAGGAAAAAAAAAACAGANGAAGGAAGGAAGGAAGGAAGGAAGGAAGGAAGGAAGGAAGGAAGGAAGGAAGGAAGGAAGGAGCGGTGGGATTCAAATATGGGAACAACCGGTTATCTGTGTGGATGCCACTTCCGGAAGTCCATTCTGGGCCTGGGCAACAAAAAATTAGCTACCGGTTCTGCCGAAGTGGTGCGAACCGGTTGAATCCCACCACTGGATAAAACCTACAGAGATGATCATATCTTTACCTCAGGCAATTACACATGGATGATGATCCCCATGCTTGGGACAAGAGGCGAACTGATCCTTGGTCTTTTGACTTCAGGAGGAGAAAACATCGCATCTTGCCCAAAGCTTTCAGCAGGCTAACAATGGTAGTTACTCGCACACGGCTCAGGGCAATGTGCATTTTGTCAGCCTCACCTGCTTAAGCACAGATGGCACAGTACATGTCACACTGGTGAGACAACCGCATAAAAATATATTGGATGCTGCCCAGAAAATTGCAGTTACTAAGTGGTGTATATGTAGATTAAATAAATAAGAATAGTACATCGGCTTGACATCCGAAGGGGGGGGGAGGAGGAGGAGGAGGAGGAGGAGGAGGAGGAGGAGGAGGAAAGATATGTCAGTATCTAACACACAATAAGAAAATAAAAATCTGAACTGTAGTCCATGAGAGAATTTTCTTGTACAAAGCTTATTGAAATAAGGAAGCTTAATTTAATTTTAGGTAAACTCATCAATTATTGTTTGTTTGTTTGTTCTTCTGATTTGTATATGCTTTAAAACAATGATCCCAGGTTTAGCCAAATGGGTCTATTTCCTGATGGCTGTTAATTGCACACCGTTTTAATCCTAAATCTGTTTGCACCCAGCGTGGCACATGGTTCACTTGCACATCTTCAATAAATAGGCATCTTCTTCCCTAAAATTAATTCTGCTGGCTGCCAGCAGTTCGATCCTGACCGTCTGAAGGTTGACTCGGCCTTCCATCCTTCCGAGGTCAGTAAAATGAGGACCCAGATTGTCAGGGGGCAACAGGCTGACTCTGTAAACCGCTTAAGAGAGGGCCGTAAAGCCCTGTGAAGCGGTATAGAAGTCTATGTGCTATTGCTATTCCTCCATTGACTCTGCTTGTCAGAAACCAGCTGGGATGGTCAGACATGATGACGCCATGACCCCAACCATCCTAAATACAGGCCAGTTGCCGAGCACCAAAATTTTGATCACATGACCATGGAGATGCTGCTGCTGTAAGTGGGAGACCTAGTCATAATTCACTTTTTTCAGTGTCATTCACTCGCTAAATGAATGGTTGCAAGTCAAGGATACCTACGCCAGGAAGTAGATGATCAGTGAAGACATTTCTCAGAGGAATCCATACACTCATTTTATGTCATTAACAGGCCCCGACTTGTTTTTTTCTTCAATCTCCCCACACTTTGCTGACTCCACCTTTCTACCTGCCGAGGCAAAGTGGCCTGATCCTAGATCCGAGCCATTGGCAGAAAGATTCAAAAAAAGGGGCACAGCTCTGGTCACATAGTCCTTGCCACCATCTTGACTTTTTTGACCCCCTTGATGGACCTTTTCTTTAGCCTTGAATGTGGCCCCCAGAAATCTGCAAAAGTAGGGAACCCTGCTGTTATTTTTAACTTGATAAGCAGCAGGAAATGATTGCAGGGCTATCCTACTGGAAGAACATTTCAGTGGGGATGAAACTGAATTTTGATTTTCATACAAGATTTTGAAGGAACGTGGTCATAGCTTTCAAAAACCAAGGGGTAGCCATGACCCCGACACTGTTTGTGACCTCCATACCCTGGAGAAGAGGTTCACAGCTCCACAGATGGAGGACTATTCCCCAAAAGTGAGTGGAGATAGAGCCAGCTTGAGGAGGGGAAGGGGGTATTCAGGAATTTTAAGGAGCAACATTGATTTTATAGACCTAATTTATACTCCATCTTTCTTCAAGTGCTCAAGACAAACACAACAGTCCTTCCTCCATTTTGTCCCCAAGCATTCTGGTGAACATGTTGGGCTAAGAGGCAGTCTGAAGTCCTCCCCAGCAACTTCCGTGGGTGAAGAGAGATTAGAATCTGGATCTTCTCATTCTTAGCTCAGTACCTTCAGCACCACCCACCTTGGATGTTGGACCGAGAGGGAATGGCTGGTTCAAAGTCTTGCCAGGAGTTCCCATGGCTGAGGATGATCTAGAACAGTGGTGGCGAATCTATGGCACGGGTGCCAGAGGCGGCACTCAGAGCTCTCTCTGTGGGCACGCGCACTGTCGCCCCAGTCCTAGGCCTTCATCTGGGTTTTATAAAACCTTTTCGCTTTAGGCCTCCGCCGCCATGTGCAAAAAAAAAAAAGGTTCAATCAATCAGTCAATTTCAACTTCTCGCTGGAAAAAAAGATCTTGCAAAGATGGAATTGATTGATTGAACTTTTTAGTCCCATCCAGTCTGTTACCACTGCAGCCACGCCCACCCAATGGGCCACACCCACCCAATGGGCCACACCCACCCAATGGGCCACACCCACCCGGCACCCGACGATGCATAAGTGGGTTTTGGGTTGCATTTTGGGCACTCGGTCTCTAAAAGGTTTGCCATCACTGACCTAGAACCTGGGTCTAATTGCTCCTAGTTCAGGGGTAGGCAACCTTGGCTCTTTTATGGCTCGTGGACTACAACTCCCAGAATTCCTGAGCCAGCATGGCTCAGCTTGGAAACCTCTCCCTTTCCCCTCAGCATGGCTGGCTCAGGAATTCTGGGAGTTGAAGTCCACGAGTCATAAAAGAGCCAAGGTTGCCTACCTCTGTCCTAGTTCAACGTTTTCATCACTATAGCATCCTGCCATCTCTAAGACCCAAGAGACTTATTTTAGCCCTTAAACTATCCCACCAAATTCAAACAAAGCTGCACATTTTGGGGTCACCACACTCGGCTGTTCTTGGAGGTCACAAAAAACATGTTGGTATGGTCCCCTGGACCATACTTTTTTCCCGTCCCTATCTTAGCACTACAACTACAACACTAGCCAGTGTACAACATGTGTAATTCAGCATCCACCTGCAGACATGAGGTTAGAGCTTAGGACATTCCAGAAATTGTCTTCTGAGTATCTACTGAGGGACAATGAACCTCACTTGAAGAGCACATGAGTTTCTCCCTTGTTATCACTCCTAGCTTCTTTCTTTCCACTTGAGATACCTTCATGTAGGACAAAAATAATAACAAGGTCAGTGTTTTTC